AAAGAGGTCTAAGTGACATACCTGAAATCCACAGCTACGAAGGGGCTGACTGGTTTTTAATCTCAGGTCTGTTTGGGGAAAAAAAAAAAACAAAAAACGATGCACAAGGTGGGTTCAGGCCAACGTGTAGCATGTGGACTTTATTTTATAGTCAATAAATTCATTCTTTTTCTTCTTGAGTTCTAAAACTCAGTCTTCTCTGCATGTCTGTTTTGTATTACACATTCCAATCCCTCGAATCTTTCAATAGCAAGTTTCCTAAGGGAGAAATAGTGCTCATTGTTTGGAAAATGTAATCTACCGTAGCACAAGAGATGATTGAAGACTCCTGACACCTATATGCAGAGATGTAGGGCGTGTGTTACTTAAGTGCCAGAGAAACCAAAACCTGTGAACACTGTATCAATGGAGTGATGACAACCACCTAGTATTAAATAGCAGACGTGTGTTCTTTCTGCCACTTAAACTCCCTGGCTTTACTCTGAGCAATAAGCACCAAAAACAAATATATATTTGTCGAATTTTTGTCTAATTCCGTTTGGATTCCATTTGTTGAAATAGAATCTCGTGTGTGTGTGTGTGTGCGCGCGCGCGTGTAATGCATTTTTTTAAAAAAATGTACTTGAATCTTTACCTTATGGTTTTAACAGTCATGGAAAAAGTCTTGAAATACTTTAAAAGGGAAGGGGGTGGGACGGGGGGTGTGGGGTGTGACAGGGATAAAAGATACAATTATCAGAACTTAAGAACCAGCACAGACAAATGTAGTTAGAGATCATTGGGGCATCCGAAAGGGAGGAAAATGAACTGGGACACGTGCCACCAGCTTGCTTTCCACCTGAGTGCCTATGCCATCTGGGATACCCAGAGGGAGCCTGTCTGAGGGGCAGAGTGAAGCCCTAAGAACAGCACAATTGCCTTCCAAAGTTAGTCTCACTGTTTATCCAGCCTTTTCCAGAATGTGTAGTATTTTCCAACTTGCCTCAGGATAAAAACAGCCCCAGGTGCTCTTCAAAAAGCCAGGTTTAAGGCTTTTACCCCAAACCCTGTGAAACGGAATGTCTGGGAGAGATCGTTAACTGAGCAATTATGGACAAGTTACATAGCTCATGCGGGCCTCAGTCTCTTCATCTTAAAGTAGTGACAGGAACAGTACCCAGCCACGAGGTTGTGTGAGGACTGAATCAGGCGATTCTGGCGATGAGCTAGCTTAGCAGGTGCTGGCACCCGGTTACTCAGTAACTGTTACCTGCTTACCTCCTATTTTCTGTTCCAGGTAAGGTACAAATCTATAAAATCACCCTCTCTAACCTCAATCCAAAGAGGCGGCCACTGGTAGAATCTCTGCATCTTGATCAAACTTGAATATACCTCACCTCTTTTGTGTTTTGGCGACACCACCTGTGCTGCGCCTCACCCCTGGCCAGGTCCAGCGGAGCCGTACTGCCTTGGAATTAGTCTCAGGTGCTCGCTGCCTCTTAGCACTACATAGATTTTAACTGATCACTGTCCTTCACTCCTGAGCACTGACCCTAGGACAGACTGTTCTAGGCCCTGGAAATAAAGTAGGAAAAACAAAGTCCATGCCTTCATGGAGCTCAGGTTCTTGACCAGGGAGGTAGGTAATAAAGAAAGCAAGGAGAAATGTCTAGAATCTGACCCTTCCTTCCTGGAAGCAAAGAACTGGAAGAGGTGAAGGGGTAGCAGAAGGAACCTCTAAGGCCCGGAATGAGGGGAGGGTGGTGGTAGCAGATAAGGTTAGGGCAAAAAGGAAAGATATAGGTTACCAAAGGCTATTGTAAGGAGTTTGCATTGACTCTGAGAGATAAGCTTTCAGACGGCTTCCACCAGAGGAGGGACATAATCCCTCACTAAGGTTTTTCCAGGTTTTACCTTCCGGCTTGGTGTGGTCAGTAGACTGTAGAGGGACAGGGGCAGAAGTAGAGAAACCAGAGAGGAGGCTACTGCACCAGTCCAAGCGAGAGATGATGGCGACTTGGTCCAGGGCAGAAGATGTGGTGGTAGTAAGAAGCAGTTAGATTCTGGATATATTTTGGAGGTCAAGACAATAGGATTGGAGGTGGGGTATGAGAAAAACACAGGAGTCAAGGATAATTTTAACGGTGGTAGAGTCGTCATCCACTGAGATGGAACAAGCTTCTTGATGAGCAGGGGGTAGAGAGATCAAAAGTTCAGTTTGGATCATGCTAAGTTGGAGATGCCTTGTAAACATAACGAATGGAAGGGCCAAGTAGGAAGGTAAATATATACATATGGAGTCCAGGGGAGAGATTGAGGCAGGAGATAGCTCTATGAAGGCCATCAGCACCTAGGTGGCATGAGATCACTGGGGAAGGAATCATAGAAGAGACGAGGTCCAAGGACCAAGGCCTGGGGTACTCAAGGTACAGAAATGGGAGCCAATCAAAACTTCCACTCGACAGTCATGGATTCTGAGCCTTCCCTAATTTAGTCACCAATCGTGTAAAAAGAACTGACTTTAGATTCGAAAGATCTAGTCCCTGCTCCTTACTACGGGATCTTGAGCACGGCATTTCATTCTTGCAACCTGTTCCGAAAAGTGGGAATGCTTTCCCCCAGCCAGAGCACAAGGTCATGGTAAAGATCAAATGAGATGATGAGAGAGAGAGAGACTGAGACAGACTCTAAAGAGCAGAAAATCTTGGTCCTCACATAGCTCTTCCTAGAGACGTCCAGTCCAGAGTTCACATTGCATCCTGAGTCCGATCATATCACTGATGTTTATTCATTCAACAAACACTTCCTGAGAGTCTCCAATATGCCAGGAACTGGTTACCCAGCGGTAAAAGGAGACATGGTCCCTGAATTCATGGTGCTTATTTTCAAGTGAAAGGACCACCATCCTAACAGCCACCTTTTATGGAATCTTATTTCTCTTGGAATCCTTGTATTTTGTGTTTTTTAAAGTTTTGTGTTTTTTTTTTTTTTAATTTTCGTGTTTGTGTCTAAGAGGTGAGAAGAGATTATTTCAGGTTTCGATTTGTAAGCACTGCTCCACCAAACTGAGCACAGACGCATACAGAATCATTGGTATATTTTTCTTTCTAACGTTGATTTTTTGGTGACACGGGCTCCTCATTAATTAAATTACAACGGCAGTATTCTGCTTCGGTAAAAATGAAGCAATCTGCGTCTCAGAATGAAAGCAACTTAATGCCACATAACCGCCTGGAGCTCAGCACCCGAGAAGTGTCACTAAAACTCAGAGAGTGGCCGAGCCATGCACGTGCCCTTTCTCTGCACTCACCGGGCAAGGGGAAGATCCTACACTGCCAGGTGTTTTAAGGGAAATTTAAAAATAACTACTCTATTCATCTTTTTAAAGTAGAAATTGAGACAGAAGTGATTGCCATTTTTTGACACTTCAAGGGCCTCTCTCAACACACCCGTGGTGGGTAAGAGACTCAGTGTTGGGAAACACAGTTAAAACGCAAAGGGCTTCACACTCCAGCGCCACCACTTCCTGGCTGCACAGCTTTAAGGATGTCACTACACTCCGCTGGCACTCGGTTTCCTCGTCCAAAAAGAGGGGATCGTCATGTTCCTATCTCCTGAGAATTAAATGACATCATGCCTATAAAGACCTTAGCATCACACGGTCAACTCTCCCAAAATGGCAGCTGTTATTATGGGAACTGGAGGCAGGGGGTCGGCGTGGACCCTGGAGGGTCCTGAGTGTTTGGCTAAGGTGGGGAGGGGTGGTCACCCAGCCAGCCGGGCTCCAGAGAGGCGAATCAGGTTGCTCTGGCTGCAGCCCTTAAATGGGGACTTCCCAGACCCGTCTGCCTGTGGTGCTTCCTTTGGGCAGGACCTCTTGCAGGTCCTCCTTGGGAGTGCCGCTGCATGGCCATGGAAGGACCGGTGTGTCAGACGTTCCGAATCCGGTAGCGACAGTGGACACAAGGAATGAAAGACAAAGATGATCCAAAAAACAGTTACGGTCCAGGAGACAGTGAGAGACAGCGAGGAGATTCACAGAGATGGCTTATGTTGAAGAAAGAGACCTGAGGGCAGATGATGCTACTTGGGAGACAAAGAGCTCCAAAGGGATCAAGCACAGGGAGAGCCTGCGGAATTTTGGGACGCGGCCACTTCTTATCTTTAAATAACCTTCAGAGCAACTCACCAGTGATAAGTAAAAAGGACTCTGACCTCAATTCAATGTAAACTCTGGAACTAAATTAGCACCATGGGAGCTTCTTGCTAACGCTTCTCTCTGTGGGACAACCCGGCTTCCAGCTCAGACTGCCCTCTGTTGGTCTCCTTAACCACAAACCCTCATCCTTTTAAGCTCCTCAGAAGGATAAGAAAAGGAAACAATATTTCCCAAGAGCCTCCCTAGCCTATTCTATACAGTTTTCTATTTATTTTCACCATCACTCTGTGAGAAGTTTCCAAGGTGGGGAAACTGAGGCACAGAGAGGCCAGACCCCAAACCACAAAGTCAGAGCAGAGCTAAGCATAGAGGCCAAGTTCTATGCTTTACTCCCTGTTCTCAGCTGTCCTTAAACATGACAAAGGTGACTGGTTCCAACGGATATCAGATGTTCCCCCCAAAAGGGCTGCAAAGGCACCCCAAGTTGTGGTCCCTTTCTTACGGGGTTTAAGACACAATCTTAAGGACCGAGGTTCAAATTTGGCACGAATATAATTAATCAAAGAGTTCACCCCTAGCTCTGTGCAAGGCACCCTATCAGGCAAGGTCAGTGGCCATAAGGCCATAAGGTGTTCTTGGACCTCCCTTGAACTCACATGTGACCTTGATCAAGTGCTTCCTCCTTTCAGGCTCTTGATCCACAAAAGAAGGGGTGAGTTCAGTAGTGCACTTCCCAACCTTAAAATCTGATGTTGGTTAGTGCTGTCTTTCAGGAGGATGATTTTGGCAGTACTTAACAAAATTTTAAATGTGCAGACCCACTGACTTCTTGGAATCTATCCTAGAGAAATATACATATAAGTACACAGAACATACACACAGGATGTTTATTGCAACATTATGAGTAATAATGACCTAAATGTGTAGCATCACAAGACTGCCTAAATAAGCGATGGCATACCTATAGCTTGGAAAGCAATGCAAGCTGGAAAAAAATGAGGACGGTATCTAAGTAGTAAAGTGGAAGTATCGCCAAGATATGTTGTTTAATGAAACAAGCAAGATTTGTTCAAAAAAAAAAAAAAAGATTCTGTATGGTACAAGCCCATTGATATATATGTACAATAAAAGACCCAGAAGGACGGGTAAAGGGGAGATTTCTTTTTCTCCTACCAAATGCTTTACTTTTAGGATAAAAATAATTTTAAAATATTTTAATTAGCAGAGTGCTACATAAGGTAAGTCTATATGGATTCCATTTAAGCAGTTTGAACTCGATGAGGTTGGCACAATATTCCTCAGATTCAGGTGTGTCTAGTGCTTTCTATGTCGGCTACACTCAACAACCCAATGGAGTAGACTATGGGACAGGTGGAGAAACCGAGGCCCCAGACTCTGATTTTCAAGGCTGTTTCTATCATATCACACACACGTGCTTGAACTCTTTGGGTTCCCGCAAAACTAGGTTCCTATCTTTGGGGATCTCATGGGGACGTTTATCACTCTGTATTGTAATTCTGTGCTCCAGCGCCACGCTACTCAAACTGTGGTCTGTTGAATCTTGCACTAAGAAAGGGGGGCTTGCATTTTGTATGTCTTTGGGATTTTCTAATTTCATTTTCTCTGGTAATTCATTGTTATGATATTTTACAAAAGTATCTGTCTGCAATAATTGGAAAGTGTTTTTCTGAACCGATCCTTTGGCGCTATCTCTGAGAAGCACTGGGCTGCTGGAGAGAAGAGAGTGGGCAAAAACAGAGCAGGTGCTTCATGTTGGGTGTATGAATGAGTCAATCACCGAATGAACGGCTGTAGGAAGGAGCAAGAATAAGCCCCAGGAAGAAAAATGCCCAGAATCCAGGTTTCTCATTCAAGTCCCTGTAGAGGGTGAGAGCTTAAGACTTCAAGTTCATAGCCAGACTCAACAGGAGCATCACTAAACGGCTCACACTCCTGATTTTAAAGAGGGAGCAGGGAGACCTTTTGCCCCCAAGTCACAGAACTGACCAACGGAGAAAAAGTACCAGCAAGGGCCACCCACAGACAAAAAGCAACATTCACTGCTCCTGATTACAGAAAATCAGACAAGGTTAGGAGACTAAGATAAATAGTCTCCTTACCATCCTGAACGAGTAACAGTAAACACAGGCTACATGCACGAAGATCCTATTTTAAGGACCGCTGTTTACGTGGAGGCTTTTGGACACGCTGACCTCAGAGTGATGGCACTGAGTGAGAGGTGGGGTTCAGCTCTGGGGCACAGGTTCCCGTCGGTCTTGAAGCTCTTCAAGTGTGTGGAAAATAACGTCAGCCTGAAGTTTCTGTCTCTGAACACAGGCAAAAACCCCCCAATCCAGAAGTCTGCCGGGCACACCTTGCTCCATTTTGGAATTTCCCACTGTCGCTTTCTGGAAACAAATAGATCTTTACGTTTAAAGAGACGTGGAACTCGAAAAACGACATCGCTTTTTTTTTTCTTTTTTAAGTTTCCCTGGAAAGTTGTGTAGTAAAAAGCAGAGTCAGAACAGACCTGGGGTTCTCATCCCTTCCTCTCTGTGTAAATCTCTCTGCTGACTCATGTATCTGCCCTTCTTCCCCTCAGTCTCCGCATCTGCAAAGGGAATAATGACAACGACAGCCCCTGCGTTAAGGTGAGGGTGAAATATCAGGATGTGTAGAACACTCCGCTGAGGCCGGACACAGCGTGAAGCTTCAGGGTTTGGCCTCTTTCTCTTCGGAGACCAAAGGAGTCCTGAGCTCTAGCAGGTACCATTTACTCAACACTTGCCAGAGGCCAGAGACGGTGTTAAGTGACATATTTACAATCTGCTGGATTTTTTTTTTCACACAATCCTCTGAGGTAGCTACTCGGTGTCCCCTTTTGGAGATGAGACTCAGAGAGGCGAATCTCTCCAAACACACCAAGTTTTCCTCTGCCTGGACCCTTGGCGTTGGCACCTGTCCCGGCTCCGCCAGCTCAGGGACAGCCAGCCAGGCTCCCTGAACTGAAGCAGGCTCCCCAGCTGTGCTGCTGATCACCAGCCCTCACGCTCTTGGCTGCCTCCATCTTGCTTTTTTTCTGTGTCTCTAAAGAGCATAAGATTGTGGGCAACGGCTTTGGCTGGCTTTGTTGTTGTTCTTAAGCTTCTTTCATCATTGGTATAATTTTACATAAACTTGGCATTCCTTTAAATTCTTTAAAAATATGTTCAGTTCTTAAATGTCTCCCGAGGGAAAGAAGGTTTCTATAAATGATTTAGTTCTCTTCTTAATGTTGAACTTAGTAAGGCTAAATTACCAGATCTCTGTTAACAACTTTGGTTGTTTGCTGGTTTATTTTCATTTTGGAAACTCCTCTCCATAATGAACCGCTTTCCCTCCCCCTGAAAAAAAATCTCATGAGGCATTCTGATCAGATGCTGGGCTGTGGGCAGATCCCTTGGAGGGTATCCTGTTTCTAGAAGGCTCCTAGAAGGCAACAAGTCTTGCAACGTGACTCTTAACTGACTTTTTACCTGCAGGATTGTCTCAGGGCAGAGGGAAGAGGACACAGCCATGCTTTCTGCTTCTGAACGAAATGATGTATTCTATAAAGGAAGAAATATTTTTAAACCAATAATCGAAACTCACTTGACCTCATAAAAGGGCTGCATAGGAGGGCGAAGGCTCTGGAATTCAGTTACGTGGGTTCAAGTTCCAGCTCTGCCACTTACCTGTGTGACCTCGGGCAAGTTAACTTACTTAACTTCTCTGTGCCTCAGCGTCCTCATCTGTAAAATGAAGGTGATAACGTGTGTTTTCGTGAAAATGAGATACTGTTTGGCAGGATTTTTCTGGGGTTTTCCAGAATGCTCAGAGCTAAAACTGGGAAAGTCCTAGACAAACTAGGTGAGTTGATAAACTCAGGAGCGGACATGCATTCTCCTTAGGCACAGCACCTGCACATTTCAAGTCTCCGTAATCTGTAGCTGTTATTATTTATCAACTATCCTATCTTATTCCTCGCCCCTTGCTGTCGTACTTCCTCATTTCCTCATCGTCTACTCTGCAGGGGCCTCCAATGTGCCTTTTATTCTTACTATGCCCCTGACAGTATACCCCCAAATCCCCCAACGAATCTTGCTGTCCATTCACAGGCCAAACCCCGAGAGAATTTATTATATACCAGGTAAGCAGCTTATAAATGAATCCTACAGCCTTTTCCCTTTGCTTCGCCTTCCTCAACTCGCAGGCAACATCGAACTTCAAAGTTAGAATGGGGAAAATTTCATGTGATTATGATATTGGAGAGGTGAGCGATGCCCTTGCAAGCCCAGGAGGGCCAGTGCCCGCAGGCGACCGCCTGGAGCTGGGACAGTGTCTGGGAACAGACTCTCCCTCAGCCTCCAGAAGGGGCCAACACGGCCGACACCTGGATTTTGGACATCAGGCCTCCAGAACGGTGAGAGAACACATTTCTGCGGTTTTAAGCCTCCCAGTTTGTGGTACTTCGGTACGACAGCCCGAGGAAACTGACACAGTCCCCTCGTACAACTCAAGTCCAGTCCTTCCCCGGATCTTCTGTCTGACAAATGCAAAGACCTCTTCATGGGTCTTCCTGCCTTCGAGCTCTCTTTCCTCTCAACTCTATCGGAAAACATCAGTTCCTGTCTCCCAGGTCAGAAACCTGCCATGATTCACCTACGCCAGCATTTTCCAAACTTACCGGAGGGTAAGAATCCCACGGCTGATAGTCGGGATTACAGGTTCCCTGGGCCGCATTCCAGACCTCCAGAAATGGGACCACAGAGGGGGTGGCCCTGGAATCTGCACCTTTTAATAAGCACCTAAGATGGTTCTTATCCTCAGGCACATTTGGGACACCCTGGCCTACAAGATAAAATCTGGAAGAGCTTGGATTAATGATCTTCCTAAAATGGCGCCAACCTCCCTATTTATTTGTCATCTCTCAAGAATCTCCGGGGTGTTGGAATTCATCCCAGTGTGTCCCCACCTCACTCTGCTGCAACTCGGTCATCCTCAACTCAAGGATGATTGAGTGTTTCGAGAACTACTTGGTTCTTGCCTAGAACACCCCTTCATTTCCTCCCTCTTCTGGGTCTCGATTCAGAGGCCACAGACCTTAGAGTTATTCCTAATTATTCAGAGATGGCTTTTCAGTGAACTGGGAATAAAACCCAAATCCTCCTCATGACCCAGCCCTGCCTGCCTCACCCTCAGTCTCATTTGGAGCCATTCTTCCTCTTGATCTTGAAACTCCAGGCATGGGCTGTCTTTTAATTCTCCGAGCACACCAAGGTTTCCCTGCCTTGATGCTTGGCACATGTTCTTCTCCCTCCACCCCACCCCCCATCACCTTGGAAGGCTTAACTCTCACCTCAGAGCTTTTCCCACAACCCATCCTAAGGAGCACACACACACACACACACACACACACACACACACACACACACAGATATATTGCATTGTGTTTTTACCTCCCATAGTTAGATTCCTTTCTGTCACCACATATTTGACCCCTTTTACCCCTTCTACCTTCCCCCTCCCCACCTACATCTGGTCACCACCGGTCTATTGCTCTCTCTCTCTCTCTCTCTCTCTCTCTCTCTCTCTCTCTCTCCCCCTCTCCCTCTCCCTCTCCCTCTCTCTCTCTCTCTGTCACTGCATTCTGTTTTATCAGTTGCCATCATTTAAAAATCAGGAAGTTCCACATAAAAATATCCAGCCTCTCTTAAAGAATCGGAAGACTTGGCACTACGACGCCCGTGTTCCCACACAGCTCCGCCAGCTGGTAGCCAGCCCTTTACGTAGGCTGGTGCTCTCTCCTCTGCAGCCGCCCCCCCTCCCCGGCCCAGCCTCTTCACCCCTTCCACTCACCTGCCTGGGCCATAAAGCCATCTGCCTTGTGACACTTCCCTGCCACCCTCCCAAACTGGTTCAATGGCTTATCACCTTACAAGAAGAGACACGGGTCTTATCCCCAGGGCAGCCCCAGCATCTAGCCTGCGCCTGGCACATAGCTGGACCTCAGTAAAGATACGCTGAAAAAATGGATGGTTGTCCCGCCCGCTCCCTTAGTCCCAAAGGCCACAACACTCACTCTGCCCTTTAATCACACCCTTCCCTGCCAGATGCATTGATTTGTGCCCAGTGCCTACCACCTCCTTAGATCTTATGAAAACACAAATCTGATTGTTTTCTTGCCCACTTTTAAAGATTTTTCTCCCAGCACCAACTGGAGAAAGCATAAAGTCCTCACCACCGCCTTTGAGGCCCTTGACATCTAGTTCCCACCTACTTCTCCGGCCCCCACCTCCAGAGAGGGCCCCCACCCAGCACACACCCACACCCCACTCAGCGGCTCCAGAACATGCTGTGTTCCTTCCCCACCCCCACACCTCTGCTGCGAAGCTTCTTCTCCCTGGAATGCCTCCTCCCCCATCTCACCCCACACACCCCCATGCCTCTAGCAAACTCCTACTCATTCTTCTGCCCGAGCTCTAACAAAAGTGGCTTCACCCATGAAACACTCCAGACCTCCCAGGGCCGACTTAGTCATTCTCTCGTTTCTGCTCTCACCCCCCTTTCATACCCTGGCCTTTGCGTAAGGCTCAAAATAGCAGCTGGTGTCTTCTGAGCCCTTGTTGTGTGCCAGGCACTGAGGGAGCTTTATCGCCTGTAATCCTCACACCTAAGCGGAGCCCCGCCTGGAAGGCTGCTCCCCAGCCCCCACACCCGCCACCTGGGGTGGGGGGCGGGGCTGGAGAAACACGAGGATCACCTTCTCACCTCCGGCTTTCCTGAGAACCATCCCTGTCACCCCATTTAAGTTTTTCTTTCTCCTTCCACACCTTGCCCCACCCCCAGGCCTCCCCATCTCCCTTCCCTGCTTTATTTTTCTCCAAGGCTCTTTTCACTAACACATGGTACACATTAATCAAATAATTAGCGTATTCTGTCTCCCCTGGACTCTATCATCTCCTCTTTACTACAATATCCTATCCTTACCACAATATCCTATCCTTACCATAGAATAGTGCCTGGCATGCCGCGGACACTCGAAAAATATTTATTAATTCAAAGAAGGTAGATATTATCACCATCTTCAGTTGTCCCCCTGCGGAAAGCGGTCGTGAAAGAGATTAAGAAAGATACCGAGTTCCACAGCTGGTTGGTGGAAGAGCCAGATGTGATTTCAGGGTGGGCAACTTCGACACCGCCCACCCTCACCCTTAACTACGGTGCCCACCACTTCGGAAGATCTGTCTGTCCACGGGTCTGTTATGCGTGAGTTCCTCAGAGCCAGGAATTCTATTCGTATTTGTGTTTCTTTCTGACCCTCGGTAGCAGCTCAAGGAACATTCGCTGAGCCAATCTGTAAGTAAACTGTGACGCGCTGGGTGGCAGGAATCATACCTTCATCCTCTTTTCTTTATTATCCTTTAACTCCATGTCGAGCACAGTGTTAAACGTACCGTTGGGGTTTATTAAATACTTGTTACATTAATGAATTCTGTGATGGCAGTAATACAAATAATTAGACAGCAATAAAGACAATAAAAAGTTACATTTATGGAGTTCTGACTCTGCGCTGGGCCCTAACCTAAGGGCTTTGTCTGTGAATTAAGACAATTCTTTTATTATCCTCATTTTACAGATATGGAAACCGAGGCTCGAAGAAGTTAAGAATTTGCCCAAGGTCACCCAGCTGGGACATAGTGGAGGCAGGATCTGAATGTAGGCCTCTGGCTCACCAGTCATGTCCTCAAAGACCACCCCAGGCTGCCTCTTGGCCTCTGTAACTAAAATATGTCCGGTAAAAGGTTGCCCTGTGTGAAATAAAGAGAATGGTTTATTATGCTTTTCTGTTTTATTTCCAGGGATTTTTTTTCAAAGCCTTTCATAGGCGAGATTACTTGCTAAGTAGTCACCGCTAATATTTGCACCACACTTGATGGTTTGCAGAGCAGTTTCGTGTGTAGTTTCTCGTCATGCCAGCAACGAGGCAATGAGGTGGGTCCTGCCATCTCCTTTTAGAAAGGAAGGAGCTGAGGCTCTGTGCCATTAAAGGAAAGGGGTCAAGGTCACCCAGCCAGCAAGGAGCAGACAAGGGCTCAAATTAACATCGATCGCTTCAAAAAAAATTAAGATCTGAGCGCCTCCAAATAGAAAGCTCTTCTATGCTGCAACTTAAAAGTAAATAAGAGAATCCTTGGGGTTGTCTTGGACTTAGCACCTGGTAGGACCCTCATAACTGTTAGTGACCATCATCATCTTCGCCAGCACCTCCTAGGAACTGGCATATTTTCGCTGATGAGTGCACCCTGTTGGTTGACCCTGAAGGAGAGATTACCCTTTTCGTTCCAGTTCACCCCCGGTAACGTTGAAATAATGATCACTCTCCATTATCCCCGGGGTACCATAGAATGTTAAGAGCTGGAAGGGATTGTGGGGATGATCTCATCCCCGCGCCTGCATTTACAGATGGAGAAATTGAGTCCGAGAGGGAAAAGGTCAGAAAGTGAACTCCTCAAGGGCAGGGCTCATGCACAGTACCTGGCACACACTGCCACCCACGAACGTGGTTTTTACCTAAAAGGACACCTAGCTTCGTAAAGGCTACAGGAGATAATTCATTAGTTTCTGGAGCTTTGAGCACCTTCGCCCTGCCCCCACACTAAGTACTAAAGTGTTATAAGCTATTAACCAGAAAACAGATCATGTGACTTAATTCCACCTCTGCTAAAGAGCTTAAAATGCTTTGGTGAGTAGTCTGAGATTCATAAATATACACTTCAACTCTCTCAAAGAATTATTAACCAGCTCCATCAAAACTGGAACTTGAGCAATCAAGGAGAAAAAGAGCTGGCAAGAGAAACTTCTTGAAAAAAACCTCACCACCATTATATATGACTTCTTGCCAGCTTTTCTTTTTTTTTTTTACCCCTAACAGTTGGAGAAGGAAGGAAAGAGTATCATTCTGTATGACATGAATCAATAAAACTAATTGTGGAAAATTATAAACTATTTTCATCTCACAAGAGATTCCAAACGAACACAACACTGTATTAAGTCACAGAAGAACTGAAAGACAGAAAGCATTGAATAGGAGGATAAAGCAGAAATGTAATGCTTACTTGTTTCTTTAAGATGGGCTAGAGGGATCTGACTGTGTGGGTGTGATAATCAGTGGTAGCTAGTTCCCAACTAATGATTTTGTGAACCTGTAATTTATAGAGACTGTGTCATATACCCACTTATCCCCCTAACTCACTGAGTATTATTTCTCCCAGTCAGGGGACTGGCTTTTCAGGCCACATGTAGGTCTCAATCAGCTTTAGCTTGAGGATTTGGAGGGGCAGGGCGAAAAGAGAGGATGACAGAGAAATGAGATTAGGATTCGGTCTTCAAACCGAAAAAACTGGAAAATAAACCCTAGTCTGTGCTCTTCTCTGGGCTTCCTGCTTCTCAAGAAAGGCTGAAATTCAGGTCCTGAGAACAAACTTGTGGCCAGAACAGCTCTTGGAATGAAAGGGTTCCCCTCCTCCATAGCACCTTTATCAAATTCAAACTATTTTCCACATTCCTTCCTTACACAGCTCAGGCGCACTTGTGAAGCAGACCTCAGAGCAAATTCCGCTGAGAAGATTCAGGAAGCTCTGACCTGGCCCTCCCTCCTAGAAAGGAAAGTCCAAGTAAAGAGGGATGCCACACCCGGGGGAGGAGAGAGAGGATGTGACGACACCTCCAGGAATGCAGGGCCCACGCAGGTGTGTTGGCACCCACGAATTTCCTTTTTAAAAGGGCCTGATAAATCAGTACTGATAACAGCAATAAAGCTCACCCACTCCACAATCACCCACACAGAATTGGGGCCCTTGCTCCCAGGGCGTGGCCCTAGTAACTGGGGAGTGGAGGGTGACAGCTTACAATAGAGATCCTATAAGGCCGAGACATGTTTTCTAGACAGTGACTCTCAAAGTGGAGTCCCTGGGACTTTTTCAGAAGGCTCTCGAAGCCAAAACTATTTTCATAGTACTAAGATGTCACTGGCTCTTCTCACCCTTCTTGTGTCACAGGTTTACAATGTGAGTTTTCTAGAAGACACATGACGTGATGATATCATCACCCCGATGACTACTGGAATGCGTGCTGCGTATTCTTTTGTTTCAAATATTTCTCAGTTGTAATTCTAATACAATGAATATTGACAGACACAACACACACAAACAAGATACCTGGGAGCCCTCCACAATTTTTAAGAGTATTAAGGGGTCTTGAGACTGAACCATTATGCTGCCCCATCACAAGACCACGCTTTATTTTCAGTTCAGCTTGAGTCACATAGTAGGTGCTTTTGAACAGGGGGTTGAGAAGGCAGCCTTATTATTATTCAGCTTGGGATGATATCCTTTCCATCTTGTACTGACACCCAAAATGGCCAGAAAAACCTCATATTCCCCGACAAGCATTTGGTGACTTGAACCCCTCAGGGGAAAAGATGGGTTTCTCACTTTTGAAGCCAGGTAGGGCAAAGCTGGCATGGAAACCACACTCCCCCAGCTCCAGCTCTCAGCAACAGATCTGAGTACCTGTCAGGAGTCAGGCACCATACTACATGCTCAGCAGTGAGCGAAGCAGATGTGATCCCTGCCTTCTCAAAGCTTTCATTCTAAGGCAGAGGTGGATTACTCACAAAAAACGTCGGAAAACTGGAACTTGTCACAGGTGCTGAGAAGGAGGCGTGCAAGGTGTTAGCAGGGATTTGCGATGAGCAGGCCCTGAGGACTCAGGTGGAATGAAGCATCCTAACCAGCTCTTCTTGGCCATCTCGGGTTAGAAACCCCACTGGCAGGCCTAGGCCCGCCTCACAGGACGGTTCAACAGCTTTGTTGAGCAGGGGTCCCACGTGAGCCCTACTGTAGTTGAGTGGGGGACTTGAGGGGATCACCTCATCTTCCAAACATGGCCAATGTTAAACAGGGTCCCTGTGAGGAGAACCCAGCTCTGGGGCATTTAGAAAGGATTCAGTCTTTCGTTAGTGGGGACACAGCTCTGTCACAAACAACACAATCCAGAGATTGTCATTGGTGGAAACAAGAAATAGGTGGAGGAAGGTAGAGTAAGACTTAAGAAATTAAACAAGAAAAAAAGGAAGCCCTTGATCAGGGCCGGTCTAGAAGAAATCTTCGGGAAGGTAGGACCTGTGAGGAGCCATCCCGGGCCTCAGCCCACTTTCCCTCCCTCCAAGGGCCCACTGAGCCCCCTGGGACCTGACGGGCTGAGTCTCTACGGACAAAACAAAGCCAGAAGAGCCCTGAGGTCCCCCCACCTCCCCAGTAACTGTTGCAGAAGCGGGAAAACTTGAATTTTGCAACCAGAGTCGCAGCCTAACACCTAAACGACATAAATGGGTGGTGGAGGGGCGTTGTTTCAAGCTGCAGCACCCCAAGGTGGAAGCGGGGAGCGGGAGGGCGGAACCCAGCAGCTCCACGGAGCCTCGGTCCACGTGCCCCGCAGCGCATTCCATCTCCCAGCGGGGTTCAAGTTCCAGCCAGGACCCAGGGAACTAGGCGCGCGCCTGCGCGCGCGCGGAAGGCCCACCCGCCCCAGCTCATCTCCAGGTGCGCTTGCGCTTCCGGCCGGCCTTCCCGGGGCGGAAACTCCGGCGCCCGCGCATGCGCCGTCCAGCTCCCCTGCTCCTTCTGAGAGGGCCGCGGCTTCAGGTGATCCCGCCCCTCCCTCGCGGTGCGAGGCCAATCGCGCGGCGGAGGGCGGGACTTTCTCGCAGACGGGCCCGCCCACGCACAAGACAGGCGCGTGTCGATTGGTTGGCGCCGTGGGCGCAGGTGCGCGCTTCCTATTGGGTGTGGGCGG